AAAAAAAAAAAAAAGGTATATAAATGCCTGATAGATTAAGTGTTATTTCGTAATAGTACGCGATTACTATAGAACTATAATACTATTACACAATTATATAAATATTACTGACAATGCTAATATCACTATACTAGTATTTTAAATTTATAATAAATTATGCGAATAAAATTTGAGGCACTCTTGTATGCAATAACAGAACATTATATCTTTCACACACATTAAAATAAGTTATGTAATAATAAAATTATTGCCAAAATATAATTTTATACAAATTTACATGATACAAAAAATATATGAAATATGTATTTAGATGTATTTAAAAAAATCACTAATATAAAAAAAGAAAAAAGAAAAGAAAGGCTACTAATATAAAAAGCCAGAATATGAACTTACATTATCATTAGGATTGTTGTTAACAGTATTTCTTGCATTGTTGTAGTTACAAATTTATTCAACCATAAGCTCATGCTGATCTATTTCATCAAAAGTTTTGTTAATATCATTGACCCATGCCATTAACCTTTTTTCCTGTTCCTTCTTCACTTTGTCTGTCTTTTTTCGTTTTATTTCGTGTTCCAGTGGCTCTTCCCCTTCTTCATTCTCGTCTTCCAAAATGTTGAATTTTACGGCTCGTTTCCGCTTATAAGAATGTTTTGGAGGCTAAAACCATATACATATTTATATGAGAAATATTGGTATTGTTAATTAAGTTTCATTTAAAGTAATTAGATCACATACCCGTGTAAAATGCGATGGCTCCAAGTCAGCAAACAGTTGAGGCCCATATCTATTCACTGTAGAATTTTCATCCATCTCAGACAGAACATCAAATGTATCAGAAAAGTTTGGAATATCGATTTCGACGTCCTCCTTTGCTTTAAAGGATAATTCTTTTATTACTGTGTTGTCATTTTTTCTATTTTTTAAAGGTTCAACTTTTTCTTCTGGTGCATCAACTAAAAACTTTTTTATTTTACCAATTGATAGTTTGGTTAGCGGTTTTTTATTCTCCGTTTTTAAATTTACTAAAGCAGATTTTTCCTTTTGCTTCTCATCATTTGTAATATTATTTTCAACATTGGATAGGTTTTCATTAGAATCATCGCTAAAACCAAACGCATTTTCTAAACCTACATCAGATTTAATGGGTTTTTTTACAAGTTTGCTACTGATTGGCGTCGATGGGGCATCATCAAAAATTCCATGAGCTGTTTTGAATGATGTACTTTGCGGCATGTCCATGACATTTAAAAAATTATTTAAATTCGACTGCCTCAATACATTCTCCTGTTCAAGAGGAACTACTTTCTTTTGCAACCCCGATGGCCCAGGTGTAGGATCCAAATTTTCTTTTTCATTGTAGCTTTGTACACTCTTTACAATTTTCTGAGGACTTGGAACTTCTTTCATTTCCTTTTTAACAACAGTTTTCGATGTCTGATAATTGGTTGCAGAATCTTCTTTATTTTCAGTACTGTCAAATGCAGGAAAATTATTTATAGTAGAATTAATCCTACTACTTAATTGAATGTTTGGTTGTATATTTTCTACTTCAGCTGATGTTCGTCCGTTTATTTCTTTTCCCACATTTGACTGTACAGAATGATCTATATTTGTAATTTCTGTACCAAACTTTCTCGAGATTATCGAACTTTTCCTTTTAGAGTTACTTGTATTTGTATATCCTTCCGGGCTCGTATTTTCGTTATTCCTTAACAAAATGTCCTTTCCTTTCATAACATTCACAAAATTCTTAAATTCATTAGACATTACCCGGGTAAATTTTTTAGCCGTGATATCGTACTTCTTGTTTTGTGGTGTACTTTGAAACACATTTCTTACTTGAGAAAACGTGAATAATGGAGACGCTCTCCAGGGACTATTCAATTCTAAATTTTCTGATGATCTCACGATTGGTGACAAAGATCTTTCAAACAGTGAATTATTAAGCGTATTCTTATACTGTACCGACTTATTATTGAAAACATTTGTAGGTCTAAATGGCATGAAATCATCCGATTTAGATATTTGTGAGTTATTCACTACAGTGATTTTCTTGTTACCCAGATCTTGTACTGATACAATTGCTGGTTTTGTATTATCTTTCGGCAGTTTTATATTTGTACTATCTGATAAAGGTAACTGCACTGTTTGTTCTGTCTTTAAGTTTACATCATTTAATAAAACTTTCTCTGAATTTTCCAGTAATGCATTTTTGTTTGGAGATTCTACTGAGACATTATTTTGCAAAAACTCAATGCGAGATTGTTGTTGCATTTCTTTAGATGCAAATTTAACAGATTTAACATTACTTTCCTTAAGTGCAGCACTGGTTAGTGTTGGTTCTGCAACAGTAGGTTCTGTTTTACGATCTTCTATGTTCTGTACATTGCGTTTCTTAGAAATAGTTTTCTTCTTGGATACCAATTGCTTTTTTACAGTAGGTTTTTTTCTTTTTTTCTTGGGTAACCTCTCCTTAGAATCATCAATATTGAAATTGAATTCATAAACTTCAGTTGCATTTTCCGCAGAGTGTTCAGGTGAAAGACACTTATAAACTGGTACTTTTTCTTTTGTTCTACTTATTCTCTTTACTAATACAATACTACTGTGCCTGCTGGGAGACAGATGGTTTGTTATTAATGCAGAATCATTCTCAGAATTCTTAACTTTTTGACGAGGACGTAATGATTTCTTTCTTGACTGGTTTAAAAAGGATTCTTTCAATGACATCTGCCTTGAATTAGATACATTTTTGTGTATTCTTTTGCTAATTTTTTTCCTTTTAACATCTTTTGGTTGTTGTTTATTTGTACTTGAACTACTATGCGTCATTGTTTCAACATCTGGTTCTGATGCTTTCTTGTCAATAGTTTTCTTCAATTTTTTATACCTAGTAATAATTTGACTTTCTTCCTGAACATCCTTATTCAAATCTGTTGAAATTTCACTTTTTTTCTTTGCCAATACATTTTTTGACTTTGTTATTAATCTCATACTCGCTGCTCTATCACCTTTTTTCTTGGGTTCTTTATTGGTAACAGATCCAGCTTTTGATGTTGTTTTTGTTACTGATGGTTTATTTTTCTCTTGTGATTTCTGAGACTCTGTTAACAATGAAGCATACTTCCTTGTCAAATAAGGTGCCATTTCTCCATAAGATGCATACAAATCTGAAAGAAATCATGTATTAATAAAAATTAATTATAAGCTTTAATTCCAAATGTGATGAAATTGTAAATGTTATAAAAATATTAAGCATTAACGAGAATATAACTTACCAATATCGAATAAAAATAAAAAGAAAACTGACACTTAACTATTAGTTGGTCATGAATATAAATTTCGACAGCATAAAGGATATTAAGTCATTTTTAATTAGTACATTAGAATCTAAAAAGGATATTCGGAAAAAACATAATACGCAGTTATACGTATTGTCATCCGGTTTCACTTCGGCAAACTACTTAAATTTTCGCTAAGCATATGATTATTTGAATATTTTCAATTCCCATATTTTCCACAATGAAAGTGTACATGTTAATAGATGTTGATGTTTATTTTTAAGAGAAAATTGACAAGTTACAGTTCTCGCGTTTCTCTTATAAGATATTAGTGATTCACAATACTTACGTCATATTCACAGAAGCATAGCGGTAGTTTTAAAATGTTGACATAAACTACGCACAAAAACATGTAAATTGATATGAAAACAGTCTAATATTTAAATTTATTTAATTGACGGTGAAATACTGTTTATAACAATTTGCAGAAATAGAATTTCTATTTACATTTAGAATTTATATAACGTTATATGAAAATCGTAGAACTGTAAAATTGAACACAAAAAAACATGGTTATTTACCGGTAGGAAACTATGAAACACAGGCACCCAATAAGTAAGATGTAGAGCGATTCCAACCATTCACCAAATATCGCAACACATACACGTAACCGATTCTGTCCTTTTCTACGTGAACTGGAAATGATTGAACACTAAACACTAATGCAATATTCTGTGCATATGACAAAGAAAATACGAAAACAGGTACTGCATTGTATCCACGAAAACAATATCATTCTTCGATGATCTACGACGCAAATATAACCGGTTAGAAGCTAAATATACATTCTTGAGAAATATACGACGTTTTATCAAACCACCATAGCACCGCGATGCGTGTAGATTGGATACTAATTGCATGGCATGAAAATGACAACGTTACTAAGATTTACCACCAGGGGGCCAAAAAGGTCATTTAACTCTTGCGTACTCGCCACAATAGTTGTCAATATCATAGGCGCGTCCTAAACCAAACTAAAAATGTATTTTCTAGTAATCAAGGAATTTATATTACCTCTGATATTATATTATTAGTAAAATGTACTCAAGTTAATGTAAATATATATGTTGTAGATATGTTGTTATATATTATGTTGTAAATATATTTACAAGTATATATACTTTTGATTCGATTTGAAACTCGTGCTTACTTAAATTCATTCATAGAAAATAAGGGTGGAAGCTCTGAAGTAAATAAATATATTATTTAAAAAATCGTAAGGCATGTACTCAATAGGTTTGGTTTAATAAACCAAGTTTACGATATATTGGATATATAATTATCGAAGATATATCTTTGGATTCGTTGTTTTATGCCTGCATTACAAATAGATCTTCAAGCGCTTCAAGCTCTTGAAATAAATATTTCCCGCCAAATTTTCACTAACCGATATTGTTTACTCTCGCCTCTTGCGTTTTAAGTTTACACGCATAACTTGAAAAAATGGAAGGATTTGACAATCCAGGAATATTCTTTTCCGACAATTTTTCTGTAGGCGACACTAATGAAGCTCAATCGCATACTAATCTTCAAGTCTGTAAAAAGAAGTTTATGGAGTTTATCAGACAATTTCACGAGGGAAATTTTAATTACAAATACAGGTATTCAAAGTATACTATTATTGCATTACTCCTTTGCCGTTTATTTACATTTAGATGTACTATACTTAATGTTATTTTTATTAATGTTATTTGCTGCAGTTGATAATATTATTATTGTTTAGAGACACTTTGAAACGAAATTACAATCTTGGTCAGTATTGGGTGGAAGTTAGTTTAGAGGATTTAGCAGCTTTTGATGAATCACTCGCAGAAAAAGTTTATAAACATCCAACAGAATATTTGCCAATTTTGGAGGAGGCTGCAAAAGATTTGGCCGATGAACTAACTGCTCCGAGACCTGAAGGTGAAGAAAGAATTGAAGACATACAAGTACTATTGTCTTCAGATGCACATGCAAGTTCCTTAAGAGGCATGAAAGTAAGATAGATCTTTAGAAAATCTTAAAATTCATAATAGAGCAATCAACGGTTATTGCATTAAAATCACTTATCCTTGTTTAGCCTGATGCAGTTTCTAAACTCATAAAAATACCTGGTATTATTGTTTCTTCATCTGGAATCAGAGCTAAAGCAACCAAGATTGCCATTCAATGTCGCTCTTGCAGAAGCATACAAACACAAATTTCTATTAAACCTGGTTTAGAGGGATATGTTATGCCTAGAAAATGTACAACGTAAGTTTCATCAACAATATATTCTGGAAACAAGTTTGAATGCATAAATGTAACATACTGAAAATATTCAAAACATTTATAAACATTTTACAACAGAGAACAAGCAGGTCGACCGAAATGTCCATTGGATCCATTCTTCATAATGCCAGACAAGTGCCATTGTGTTGATTTTCAAGTTCTCAAAATGCAAGAACTGCCAGACCAAATTCCACAGGGTGAAATACCACGCCATTTACAATTATATTGTGATCGTTATTTATGCGATAGAGTTGTACCAGGCAATAGAGTTCTCATTCTTGGAATATATTCTATCAAGAAGGTCACTAGAACTGGTGGTAGAGCTGCAGGTAGAGACAAAGGACTGGTCGGTGTTCGAGCACCATACATAAGAGTTATTGGTATTTCTGTAGATGGAGAAAATACAGGCAGTGGTATGTTAATAGTAAATTGATATTGTGGAACTGTAGAATCCTTCATTTAAAAGTAGTTTTATTCTGTCTTGGATGATTTCAGGTACTCAGTCGTGTGTTACAAACGAGGAGGAAGAATTATTTAGGCGTTTAGCAACAGATCCTAATCTATATGAAAGAATTGCGAAAAGTATAGCGCCTAGTATTTTCGGCGCATTGGATATTAAGAAAGCTATAGCGTGTTTATTGTTCGGTGGAGCCAGGAAAAAAATGCCCGATGGTCTCTGTAGAAGAGGAGACATTAATATGTTAATGTTAGGTGATCCCGGTACAGCTAAGTCACAACTATTAAAATTCGTAGAAAGAGTCGCACCCATTGCAGTTTATACATCTGGAAAGGGAAGTTCCGCTGCTGGTTTAACGGCATCAGTCTTAAGAGATCCGGCCACGGTAAATAACTTAAATTTTTATCAGCAATTTATATATACACACATGTAATCGTTGTTTTTGTGAGACATCTTGATTCATTTACTTATAGAGAAACTTTGTCATGGAAGGAGGAGCTATGGTTCTCGCGGATGGTGGTGTTGTCTGCATAGATGAATTTGATAAAATGAGGGAGGATGACCGAGTCGCCATACACGAAGCCATGGAGCAACAAACAATATCAATTGCAAAAGCAGGAATAACTACAACATTGAACACTCGGTGTTCTGTTCTAGCGGCAGCGAATTCCATATTTGGTCGTTGGGACGACATAAAGGGAGAAGAAAACATAGACTTCATGCCCACTATATTGTCGCGTTTCGACATGATATTTATTGTTAAAGATGAACATGAAGAAAACAAAGATGTAAGATTAGCCAAACACGTTATGAGCCTTCACACTAACGCTGGTCAAGTTATGGAACAGTCTGTGGAAGGAGAGCTGCCATTACACGTACTGAAGAAATATATCAGCTATTGTAGATCGTAAGACCATTTTATCATAAAACCTAAGGATGTCACATTCTCTATCTTTTACCTGAAATTAATTTATCTACACCTTCTACAGACGTTGCGGCCCGAGACTCAGTAAAGAGGCAGGAGAGAAATTAAAGAATCGGTACGTAGTGATGCGAGCTAGTACAAAAGAAGCGGAGAGGGGTACCGAAAAGAGACTATCTATTCCTATAACAGTTCGTCAATTGGAAGCGGTCATAAGAATCTCAGAATCATTAGCTAAGATGCAGTTGCAATCTTTTGCCACGGAAGTCCATGTCAATGAAGCGATTAGACTGTTCCAGGTCTCAACCATGGATGCTGCGATGTCCGGATCATTAGCTGGTAATCTAAAATTAAGTAACTCGTATGTATGTATTTATTGTACTTATTTCTAAACATGAATAATTAAACAGGAGCGGAAGGGTTTACCTCGGACGAAGACCACGAAACGTTAGCTCGCATCGAGAAACAATTGAAGCGTAGATTTCCTATAGGGAACCAAGTATCGGAGCAGAACATTATTAAAGATTTCGTAAAGCAAGCATATCCGGAACGTGCTGTCTATAAAGTTATACATACAATGATACGTCGTGGGGAACTCCAACATCGTATGCAACGTAAAATGTTGTACAGACTGCATTAAAATTCAATAACGCTTTTTTTTTTATTTAATACAGTATGGTATTGTGCCTTTATGCGTTACTATAGTCCTCTATTTTGTACCATGCTTTGTTAACTTTCAATATATAAATAAATATATGTATATAAACTCAAACTACATGTTCATAATTTTTCAGTTAAGATAATAATTCGTCTTTGAATGGATAATACGGATGATTCTCGGTTCTAAAAAATTAATTTAAAAATTAATTACAATGTGTTTGTGAGAAGAACAGTATTAAACTTACCCTTTGAAGAATAGGAACTTAAAGATTCTTCCACGGGGACCTTTGTTTAAGCTACTCAAGAGCTTCATGTCATCTTCTTTTAATTCAAAGTCGAATAAATCGATGTTCGCTTTGATTCTTTCGGAAGATGCGCTTTTTGGAATTACAACAACACCTAATTGTAACAAGTATCGCAATAAAATTTGTGCCGCTGTCTGTTTGTATTCTGCGCTTAGGTTCTGTACTATCGAATGTCCCAAGAGATCCGGAAACTCCTCGAGGCTAACATTGTATTTTGTTTTAAAGTGAATTTTGGCTCCTGGAGACCCTAGAGGGCTGTAAGCTGTTATAATAATATTGTGCATTTTACACAATTGTCTCAGTGAATTCTGTTGCAAATAGGCGTGTAACTCTATCTAATAATAATTGAAAAACCATATATTAGTAATCTTTTTTCAGCACTTGTCCTGTTTAGTACTTACTTGTAAATTACTTGGTTTAATTTGGGAATTTTCCCATACATTTAACACTTGCTCTTCATTAAAATTACTTAAACCTATGGATCTTGTAAGACCTTTCTTTACTTGATCTTCCATTTTCTGAAAATTTAGATAGATTGATGAAGTATCATTCACAAATATCCCAATTATTAATGTTCACTTAAAAGTGTACCTTCCACACTGACACAGGGTCTGTATCAAGATCAAATACATAACTTCCGTCTTCATGAGTAGCTGGGGCAAAAGCAGTTTCATCCCGTTTGAAAGCAAAAGGCATATGAATTAAATACATATCCAAATAATCCAAACCAAGTTTGTCCAAGGATAACTGAATATATTTTTCCACATCCGATGGACGATTACCATAGTGGGGCAACTAAAAAGATGATTTAATCATTTCTTCAACATTTGTAAAGAAAAGTTATTTTCTTGGCATATAACAGGCATTACCTTTGTAGTGATAAATAGATCCTCTCGTTTTCCACCTTTCGCAAACCACTTTTTCAATACCCCTCCAATCGCTTCTTCATTATTATAATTAAATGCAGTATCGATATGTCTATATCCAGCATCTAAAGCAATTGTCACAGCAGTTTCAATTTCTTCAGGTTTAGCCTGCAGTATATAGTTATGTTTGGTAACACAGTTACAATGTATTTTTCACTTGTTTTGTAATTAGTGTGTTAAGAAATTTAGATTCTAATGTGATTTATTATCGAATTACCTGCCATGTACCCAAGCCTACAATAGGCATGTCATATCCTGATAACAACTGTACTGTACGCATTGTTTCTTTTCCTGACTGACCCATTGCTGTGAAGAATATTTGTGAACATTCATACAACAATTTTTAATAACATTATTATTAATTGTCATAAGGCTATAACTATTCCTAAGATTACCATAAACTATTATTTATAAATATACAACAATTAACTACTTCCTGGTGGCGCTATATGGATACAAAATAAATTTCTAAAGTTAGATCAGCCTTGTACTGTTCTGAATACATAAGTTTGCGTTTATGCAGAGAAATAGGGGTTGTTGCATATATCTTACGAAGATGCGTATTGATTACTAGCGAGTTTTATATGTAACGATTTAAATCTTTTAAAAACTGTCATATCGAAATATTTATGTGTAAAATGTTTTGAAATATTGTCCCACATAACGGAAAAGAAAAATTTAAATCACCCGGTTACCAACCGTGAGTCTCTAACGTCTCCAAGCGTATAAAGACCTAATGATTATACTTATAACTACTCTATGAATTGTAAAAGAAATAACTTAATTAAAAAAGTGATTAATATTAGATTTAATAACTTATACTTACACGATGATTGAATAGAGTATCGTTGATGATTTGTTATGGAAAAACAATTGACTAATTGGTATTTTATGTATCGGTATGATAACGTACAGAGTGAGCATCCTTGATTCTTAAATAATATGCTTTTTATATACATAATGAATTTTTAAAGATTTCTACAAATTTTGACACTAAACGATACTTGTAACAAGATCCGGATTTTATGAGTTTGTACTATACATGATTGTCTAAAGTCTAAACCATCTTATTGTTCTTATCTTCTATATATTTTATCTTTCATGTTCGCATTTCATTTGGAACCTGATAAAAATCTAAACGGAGTAAGCAAATGTTTATATGATACCAGTTTTTGTAAATTAATCCATAAACACCTATTCGTCGAAATATTCGCAATCTGCTTACATACTTGGAGAATAAGTATATGTACAATTAGTTTTTCCCGCGTCACGGTAATCGTGTCAACGTGTCAACACGTTCATTGATTTTACTTTTCTGACTTTTAATAACACGACATTTAATAATTGTAAAAATGTAAAACATGAAGCGCCAACTGTATAATTTGATAATGAAAAAGAAATTAAAAGATGGGTAGTTGTACGAATTACAGAAGAATATATAATATGTTGTATTATTCAATCAGTTCAGAAGAAAAATTTGTAAATTTTTAGGCAACTATACTTTTGTACTATTTTCCACATTTGTCTATATAATTCAGTATACATATATAAATTTATATAATATAAAATGAAAAACTATTACGTATCATTCAAATTTATTTCATATAAGCAGATTCGATTACAACGGTATTATCGTGTTAAAAATGGTTGGCAACATTGGACGTCAGTCACACGATGATTTCAGTGTGAACGGATGTTTGATTACATTTTAACTTATCATGAAAACACTGTCATTCTCTTTTGTAGTTAATCAAAAAATTTAATATAATTCATGATTGAATGATTTAGATTTTCACAGTACGAACATGTTGATTTACGATGTCCTGCACAAAGAGGCAGTGTATCATTCGGTTGTCAACGATCTACGGAGTTACGGGGTTAAGTACCGGTTCAAAAAGAGTATGTTTAAAACTGAGAGGTCCGAAGGAATCAAGCAGATCTCGAAAAAAGTTTTCAAGACTCCGTTATCATATCAGCCGTTGGACGTCGTGAATCTTTCATCGGGTGGTATCGTACACGTACCCGTCTTTGTTAGTCAAGCATCTACCTTTTTAGAAAAGCATGCTGCTCAAGAAGGTCTGTTCAGAAAAGCAGGGTCACAGCTTCGACAGAAGGAATTGATAATTCGGTTGGACAGTGGTGGAACCTTGGGGGAAAAGCATCATGCAATCGACGTAGCTAATTGTTTAAAGACCTTTTTCAGAGACCTTCCTGAACCGTTGATTCCTTACACATATCATGATCTCTTTGTACACTGTGCGATGCTCAAAGCATATCGTGTAGAAGCATTGTTATTGGCTTGTATTCTTCTACCACCACATCATCTAAATACCTTGGCATTTTTCATGGAATTCTTACAAAAAGTATCATTGTACGAAAAACAAAATAAAATGGGTACTGACAATTTAGCAAAAGTCATTGGACCAAATATTATGCCCCTACAAGAAGCTACCATGTCTGCTGTGCAGATGCGTCTTGAGTTGCATTTGATTATTGTAAAGGTAATAGATTTGTTTTCAGATGTTATAAAGAAATTGTACACATTTTATGTATTTTATGAATACTTGCAGATTTTAATTGAAAATGCTGAGAGTATAGGTGTCTTACCGAATCGCATAACACAAGCTATTTCTATGGAAACTATTGGTAGTACGGATAATGAATTAGATATATCTGATAGTCATTTGCGTTTTAAGTCAAGGAAAAAGAAACATCGCAGTGGAAGTCTTACACGTAAGCCACACCTAAGTGCCTCCAACCTCAATCTAAGTATGTCTGTGAATCTGTTAATAGTAATTTATTCTTTATTTCACTATCATTCATAGAATTTCATTGTAACTGATGCAAAGTGGAACAGTTTATTTTAATATACAGGATATTAATGAAAATGACCCACATTTTTATTAACACCCTGTATAAACCTTTTAACTACCTTAATAATTCATGTGCTTATTGAATTAACATATATTTATGTGTAGATAACTGTAGATTTTCTCTACTCTTGTAATTTTTTTCTTTAGGAATGTTTAACGGGTTAAAGAAGATAGTTGGTAAAAGTACTGTATCCGATGACGGTAGTATATCCGATAACCAACGAGTTCCAGAAAATTGTGATCCATCACATGCATCGAATACTAAATCCACAAAGAAGAGGAAAGTTACCGAAAGGGTGGATCCATCAAGTACGAAGAAAAAGTGTGTATCAATATGTACATTGCTATTTGAAAGCTTGCAGTACCTTTCAATACAGGGTGCTCTAAATTTTTGTATTCTAGGTGACATAATACATGTTATATACAAACATTAATTAAATATTTAATCTGTATTTCAGGAGAGTTATAGATAAGTCAGACAAATCTAAAAAATTAAGACTGAGTTTAGATCGTTTTGTACCGAAAAAGCCTGTAAGAATATTATTATTATTTTATTAATGATGTATACATTTATATTATGTTTCATGTATATAATACTTTCATATTTTCTAGAAAACTGTCTATGAAGATCCGGAATCGTACACAAACACTATTGATGCTTATACGGAACGCCGTTGGAGCTCCGTATCTAACACTTGTGATTCACAAAGAAAATACAGAACACACAGCGATGGTTTGTCAGAATTGAAATTAATTTTAAAAGACGGTGAAGTGTCGAATGATCTTCACAAGGAATATAACAATTTGTTCACGGAGGCGGATGTTAATTTATCAGATGATAGTAACGAGCAGGTCTTGTCAACAAAAGAAGATAATATTAGTACTAGTAAATGTTCAAGTTCAGAAGAGTTAAAAATATTAGACAACTTTTCATACCCATCAAGGAGAAGATTAACTTTAAATAATTTCAAAGCTTATTCGCACGTTGAGCTCACATCTGTAGATAATCAGTCAGAAGAATACGTTACAATATCAAAAAGTGAGTATGAAGACATTAAGAACAGAGTTTCTGCAATTGAATCTCGGCTTTCTCAAGAGTTTGGATGCGTGGATAATGAAGAAAGCGTCAGTTTGTCACCACCTTCGGTGAAGAAAGTACAAACTGCGTATGAAAAGACTTTGGAAGAAGCTAGTATCGAAAGTACAGCGACTACGGATTATTTAGCGAGGAGACTTGGGAAGGAGCTTAAAATTAGAAGATCCGGTGAACATAAAATAATAAGGTCTCCTAGTGCCCGAAAGATAGGTACTTTGAGAAGGAGATCACAGGAACGGATTATGAGGTAACGGAAGTACAATCTAACATTTTTTACATTTTTACTTATATTTCATGGTTTTTATTTCTAATTCTTAGTAAACGCATTAGACGGACAGCTTCGTGGCACATTTCTTACGGGTCGGATTTACACGCCCAAATACTGTCCGATCAGCAGTTAAATAATGGTTACCACCAGAATGAAAAATCTTATTCGTCAAATTGTAAAAGCGACGAGGCTTACTTAAGACCTGTATCCACTTCTCTCTGGGAAGAAGAGAAGAATAATGCCATTCTGAACAATGTACGCGATGAATTCAGTAGTTTAAATATGTATCCAACGAAACGTAGTCTAACGTCTGTTGGAACTGGAGTACTTCAGCCAATAAAAAATCGAACGCACGCGGCTGTGCGTCGAGTGTCGTCTTTCCATGGTAATGAACTAGCAAATACAACCATTTTTTCCGACGAAAAAATAGAGAAACTAAAAAAGACAAATAGTCAACAAAATATTATAAATAATACACCCACTATTGCCACATTAACTCGTAAACCGAGTTGGAAGAAGTCAACCACACCATGGAAAGACGCCGAGGGATATTTTAAATCAACAAATCAAACAAATACCCCAGTGACTCAAACTGGTCGTGCGTCGATCGCTAAATTAAGAACACAAAATGCTGGGATGGTATTAGCTAAGGCTAAATTATTTGACGAATGCACAACGAAAGTGTACAACCAGAACGCTGTTCTAAATAAAAAGAATAATTGGCTTAACAAAAATGATAATCAATTTACGAGTGATTTAAAACATTACTACGAAAGGAATGATTTATGTCAAGAATCAAGTAAAAATATAAAGAATGGAAACACAAAGTTGATATCCAAGAACTCTCAGTGTTGTATTACCGCGGAGACAGAAGGCTTACTTTTCAATCAGCAAGGCAATAAAGCTTGTTACACTTCTCAGGACTCTGATATTAAAACTAGTATACCAAGAGTCATAAGTAACATGCACATTAATGTTGTATCTGACATAGCACATCAACAGAAAGAAAATATAACTGTAAAAATACCACCTACGAAGCAAATACCTGTTAATACAATCTTGGATGAGACCAAATTAAGTGTGTATAAACCTGATGGCAGTTCACTTTGTAGAACGCCACATATTAAAAAACCATTATCTGTAAAGACACCAAAAAGTGCTAAGACGTTGGTAAGAAGGCCTATAGTAGATGCTCGAAGAACACCATTGAAGGCTGTTGGCCAATTGGGAACTCCGAAATATCAGAGTCCGAAAGGTATCTTGAAAACACCGAGAAGTGTTAGGCATACTTGATCAAATACTGTACAAACTTATTAAAAATGTGTTCAAACATGTAATTTAAGTTATTAAGCTTTTGAATACATTAATTAACTATGACTTTAGTATAAATAGAACAGTAACAATTATAATTTAGATGATCTTAATATAAATAATGTTTTTACTGTAGTTACACTGTAAGTGTTTATATAATTAGATATATCACATTACTCTTTAGTATGAACAAGTTGTCGTACAGACATATCAGAGAGAAGTACTATTCTGAGTATGTTAAATAATATACCGAGTACGTTAATTAACATAAACATGTAATATATAGTTGAACAATGAATTATTTTTTATACAATTGTATACTAATATAAAAGCATTTCAACAAATTTATATTTTTCATTACATTGAAGACATATGTTACGTACCGAAAATTTTTATTAGTATTTTTTAAACATTCAAAACAATATCTGATATATGAATGCAACGTATTTTTTTTTTTAAGAGATTTACAGATTTATATGCATTTTCTCTTGTGCCTTATATATTAGTATAATATACATTCATGTATACCCAACAAAGTACAAAAAAGATATATCTAGATCTAGACCAGGGGTTTTAAACTTATTGGTAAACTAAAATCTGTAGGACACAATAAAGTAAAAACCTTAATGAAGTTTAATTAATGTTTTTATTTTATTTTTATGAATGAAAGTATGAATTTCTGTGTAAACACTCGCAGTCTAGTAGGATCATATTGTTAAGTCAAATACTGCCATTTAATATTACTAAATTTGTGCCATGTAACTCAAACACCTTAATGTAATAGTGTTCTCTAGATATTCATTAAATCATGAATACATATTATATTGAATTAATCATATTGCAGGTTTTTTCCTTTAAATGCAATAAAATTAAAAGTACAAATATACAGTGAATAAAAAAAATTATTTACAGATTCGGGTCTCTTATATGTAGTAAATTTATATGGAGTATTAAAAATATAGAGTGCGTCTTGCATCGAACGTACAACCACTCATTGTGAGACACCCTCTATAATGTTAAGAACGTATTACTTGAAAATTTATTACTGTTCGAAGTGGAATAAAGTAATTGAAATTTGTGAGACATAATTTAAGAATCTATAAAACTACTTCAAATAAGTGGCTGTGCACTAATATCTTTTTTGTCTGCTGCCATATCCGTCCACGTAGTTTAAACGTAAGCGTAATCAACGTAATATCTACTTATACACTCCTACCTCCACCAATCGGGTGGTACGGTACCACTGGTACCGTCTGTCGGACAGACTCTGTCCTATCTGGACCTGTCAAATAGCAATAGCACACGTTCATTGCGCTGAAACGAGATGAGTACAACAAAGAAATCGTATATTTTTGGCACAACGAAACTGCTTAAAGTAACGAAATCGTGGGAGGAACGATGAACATTGTCGAATGTTTTCACCATAAAATATCGCCGTGTTGCACCCGTAAACACAACCAACACAATCGTTGATAGTTTCGGGTACTGTCGTTTTGATAGCAGCGCCTCGTTGATTCTACAGATTCTACATAGCCAAATCCTACAGCTGTTGATACTTATACGTAAATTATAGGTACGATAAGTGTCAGCGAATTTGTCGATCAGGAACCAACAGCCCTTTGGCCTGGAAATATAATCGGCCCGAAGATGAGGGAGGCTGGAATAATGTTAATAAGCACAGTGCTAACGTGCGCCATAATAGGCAACGCTTATTATCAAAGAAAACAATTTTATCCAACAGTAGTTCACATAACCAAATCTAATCCCAGTATGACGGTAAGTTTTTCATGTTCTTCTTCCTTTAATATCATTACTTACTAAATGTTTATTATCAAGACAATATCATCGTAAAATACATTTTGGTGTTCAAGTTTCTACTATTGAGAATCCAAATGTTTATGTGTTGACATATACCTGACTCATAAGATTATAAACGTTACTATTTTGAAATTGAATTTTGTTTCTCATAATTTTATAATACCAATCACCTATGACTACAGTGGCACATAGCACATTAAATATTGTTCCAATGTTTATATCCTTTAACTTTTTACTCTCTGCAAATTTTTTTTTTACATTATCAGTCATATATTGAAATATATATCTGTAAATTGATCTTAGAATTTATCTATATATCTTAAATGTTCTTACGATGCTGTGCATTTTATTTTTACTTTTATTTTAGGTAATCTATGCTCAAGGTTTAATTCTAGTATTTATGATAAATGCTTTCCTACGAAAGATATTTTTTGGTACACTACGTGCTACAGAACTCGAGGTAAATAAAGATGTTCAATACTCAGAGATTTAAAACTGATAGCATTTTGGTATCTGTATTATGTTGGTTTCGTCATACAGAGACTAAAATATTAACGCGACTGATATCATTATCAGTATCTTGCCAGTTTTCATTTATCCTCTAAATATTTGCAGCATCTATTGGAAAAAGTATGGTATGCAGTGACTGAAACTTGTCTGGCATTTACAGTGTTTAGAGATGACTTCAGTCCCAAATTTATAGCACTATTTACACTTCTCTTGTTTCTGAAGTCATTTCACTGGTTGGCAGAAGATCGCGTAGACTATGTAAGTAACATTAGGTCATTTACATGGTTTGTATCTGTTAAGTGTCATTGATGTTCTATTTAATACTTTTCAGATGGAAAGGAGTCCAGTGATAACATGGTTGTTCCATCTTAGAGTCGGTACTTTACTGGTACTTTTATTCGCCATAAATTTAACTATGATTCATTATGCATACAACACAACAGCCACAAAAGGTCCTTCTGTACAATTAGTGTTTGGTTTTGAATATGCAATTCTTTTAACAGTTGTGTTCAATATTGAAGTAAAGTATATACTGCATACTATAGACCTGCAAAGTGAAAATCCATGGGACAATAAGCCAGTATTTCTGTTGTATACAGAATTAATAATTGGATTGTTGAAGGTGAGTGTGTTTCCTATTCAATATATTTACTTGTAGCTTAATCGTACATGAATATCCAATTTTTTAACACAAATGCGTTTCGTTTCAGGTCATTTTGTATGTTGCTTTTGTCACTCTGATGATAAAATTATATACTTTGCCGTTGTTTGCGCTTCGTCCAATGTATTACACGATGCGAGACTTTAAGAAAGCTTTCCACGATATTGTAATGTCTCGTCGAGCTATCAGAAACATGAACACATTATATCCAGATGCAACAGCAGAAGAATTGGCTGCTGCTGACAATGTGTGCATAATATGCAGGTAGGTGTAATCTGTTCCACTTTTCTTTTTTGTAGTTTTACAAGTGTAATGTCGATTCTCTATCACATGTATGATTAATGTAGGGAGGAGATGGTTGCAGCAAGTAAAAAGTTACCATGTAATCATATTTTTCATACCGCTTGTCTTCGCTCTTGGTTTCAACGTCAGCAAACATGTCCCACCTGCCGTTTGAATATTTTAAGACCTGTAAACAATAATCAAGCAAATAGGCAGCAGAATCAACCACAGGCAGGACCACAAGTGCCTCAAGCTCCTCAAATACCGGGATTTAACCCTATTCGTATGTATAATAATGTTAAAAGAAACACCTGCTCTTTAAAAAAAAAAAATAGTATGAGATGTCTCGCACCAGAAAACCTGAAAAGTAATAATTTTAACATTATAAAAGATTGTAACGTTCATGTTTCGTTAAATGTAGTTCAGTTCTTTCCGGCATTCTGGGCTGGACTGCAAGCTGCAGGAGCGGCACCGCAACAACAAGCTCCACCAGCGACACCGCAACAGCAAGGTCAAAATACTGCAGCAAGCACACCAACTACGTCATTCCAGAATTTAGCAACTGGTGGTGTACCATTGTTTCCACCCCCGTTTCCCACTATGGTACCATTACCTCCTTTTCCTACTCCGCCACCTAATTTAACAGAACTGAGTGAAGAAGAGCTTAGAGCCATGGAGGGCAATTTGCGACAAGCTGTAGAAGCTCGAATACAAACGTTACAGCGAATCCAACTTTTGCTGGATGCTGCCAATGCTATGATGAATCAGTATCAAACGGCAGCTGCTACTGCTAAGTTTGTAGAAGTTCTTCCGTTTATCAATCGAATCGTCGAATAATTTTAATTGCAATAACTATTTTAACTGTTATGGTTACAGCATTCCAGAGCCAACTACTACTAGTAACGTGAATGTTACATCGGATATTTCTTCAATGGCGCAACCAGGAACATCGAAAGGCACAGGTTCTGAGATTGCAAACGAGAATTCAGAGATCAAAATTGAGGCAAATGTTCCTACTACGAATACTTCCAGTGAAAGTATGAATACACTACCGGACACAGATAGCAACGATGTAGCTCCAGAATCGTCACATAGAAGTGAAACCGAATCGTCGAGTGAACAAGAAATGTTGCGAAGACGTAGGCTACAAAAATTTGCAACTCAGCTGACGACAGAATAAAAGTTCGTAAAAATATGCGACGACTTATGTAATATAATAATTTGTACCTCGATTAACTGGCCTGGTTTGCAGATATAATTAATAATTGAGGAATGTATAACGGTTATGGTTCAGCGATTCAAATTCAAGTTCAAAGTTGACTTTATGATATCAGTAATCTGAAGTGTACCGAAATGAATTTATCTCTTTCTTTTTATATACATATATGGCAGGCAACTTATAATTTCAACAAATATTACATGTACCAGTTGTGTGTGTATAAGTATATACCCTTTACACAATGGTATACGCATCACCGAAATATTTTGCAAAGTAACATTTTGTATACATTAAGTTGTTTCTGTATGAATTATCTGATAATTATTGAAATTCATCATTTTCAATCCTGTAATTTTTATATTGAAAGTCTAACTGGAAATGTCTAGCAGATCTTGATTACATTTTGTGAGGAGTGATTGTGTCTGTATAGTATGACTGAAGAAAAAATAATTACTTTAGAGAACTGTCATAATATGTAATAAATTTATTTGTCTATTTAATAATGCTTTTATTTTCATTATATAGATTTGTATACATTTATATGATTGATTCACTAAAGACAAAATTTTTTGAAATAATTTTAAATTATAAATTTAAATAAGACTATAGGATGTAATAAGTACAAAATAAATTATATTATTTAAAAAAAAAAAGGTAAATACATTTGATTTAAAATAGATGTGTGTTTAGTCTTTGAGATTTAAGCTTGTAAAAAGTTGTAAGAATATTATAACTTTCATCTCTATAAAACCAAATATTTAACCACTATCTAATTTATGAATATATTAAAACAAATTAAAGTGATTAAGAAGAGCACACAAGTGTTAAATCAATTTTTTAATATAAAAATGAAGTGATATTTCATCTTTTGCAATATTATCACGAAAATAACAAAATACAGTTATTTTGCAAATAATAATACATGCAGTCTATATAATTAGTTTGCAGTATTTAGATTTATTTTAAAAAATTACTGGAAATGTGAAAGAATAATCAGTATCATTCACTAACTTTTATTGATCACTTGAAAGATAATTATAACCTCATTTTTCTACGTCGAAGATGCGCAAGCTTGATGAGACGATACAGAAAGGAGATCACATCTCGTTTTACGTTCATTTTACATTATTGTATAAACTGTAAAGACCTTCGAAAAAAGAAAACCGTTTCTTCAGTTTTACACATGCAAATAGTTTCAAAAGCATACAAATAGAACCAAATAAATTTTACACGCATGCGACTCTTACAAAATGATAAAGTCCAACTGCTATTTATAATTTTGCTACATTGCTTATCATTTTATCAAGTTTTGTTCTACATAATTTTTTCTTCATTCATTACTGCTAAATTTATTTAAATAATTTGTTGTTTGCATTTTTATTTGACTGGTTTTGTTCAACTTAAACGATATTTGAGCATTGATACATTTTATTAATGTGTATAAATGTATACACTATATTTATATTATATATAATCGGAAAAATTTTGAACTTGACATTTAGTACATCTTTGTAAAACCACATATCGTAATGAGTCGTTTTACCGTTGAATGTTTACATGTTAATGAATGTCTAGAGTACACAGTGTACACAGAACCATAAAAAATTATACGCGAAAAGATTTCAAAAAACAGTTGTTAATACTTGTTGTTATTAATAATGTACATATTTAGATGTGGCAACACAATAAGGTAGAAAAAGTAACGAAATTTACTAACTCAATGCAAACATGTTATTAATAATACCCTGGTGAAACCTTTAAGGAAAATCGGTGAACTCTAACGGAATTCCCATGTCTACGAATAAATCTTGAAAAAAATGTTTATTTACATAAAGATTCACGGTCTAGTTATTAAAAATCATTTCATCGGCATCACGAATTATTGTATTGCGCGCTGAAATCCTTGAAGCACACGAGGCGAACCCCGTAGCGCGTTGTTGTGATCTAACATGGCGGAGTGTAGTGTTGTGGCTGTTCAGTGTCTATGTCAATTTTAGAGTGATTTCGCTTAACAAGAACGAAGTAACTGCCATGGTCGTCGATCACGGTGCCGCGACGGATCGAGCAAAATAGTCCTGCGTTCACGAACGTTCGTATCACAAGAGGATCGACGTTAATACGGTTTTTTGGTTTGTCGCGGGAACCGTACACAGCGGTGAGAGCACGCAGAGAGTGTCGTCTTCCCAGCAAGAAAATTCTCTCCCGGCTCGCTGCGAGGACGGGTTTGCTCGCGGGACCGATTCCTCACGCGATCGTGATTCATTAGGTTTGCGTGGCCGCGACACGTGAAAGCGGAAACGTGCACGACGTGCAGTTTTCCCGCGCGTCTCGTGAGGTTTTCTTGGCGCAAGAATCAAGGCTTATGCAACGAAGAGCGCATAAACATCTATTACGGTAAACAATCTCGTCCCGTCAACCGAGCTCCAAGGCATGCGAGTTACGCGACCGCTCGTCAGTGTTCGTACTATTAGGATTGATAGTGACAAAACTCTCGATATCGTGGGAGCTCATTAAAAGGAAGGTATTTCACGATTAACAGAGAGAGAGAGAGAGAGAGAGAGAGACAGACAGACAGACAGACAGACAGAGAACAATAAGTTGAAGGCACATACACTGATGAAGTCTGTCAGTAACTGTTGTTAGAAGCAAACACAGATTTCCTTATGGCGTTTTTCTTGATACAGACTGCTGGTATTGTAGATTTGTTTGAACTGTTGCGCAAGAGCAATCGAATGCAAGAGGTAAAATCTTAAGAAGATCGTATATATGCTCAACACTTGTCTGTGTCCCGTACAATAGATATTGTAATAAGAAGCCTTAATGGGTTACAAGAGAGCAATTGACAGATCGATATATGCGGATTGTTGTGCGTTCAAGCATTCACTGGAAAGTTGAGATACTACCTGTAAGATTAGTTTAGAAAGCCAAAGAGTAGGTGAGAGGTAAAAGGGATGCGAGGTTGTTGGTGATATTATAGGACTGTGTGCATAAGTTAGTTTTACAATATGACAGATACACGCAGAAGAGTAAAGCTGTACGCTCTAAATGCAGACAGACAATGGGATGATCGTGGCACAGGTCATGTATCCTCTTCTTATGTAGATAGATTGAAAGGAATTTCACTTTTGGTCAGAGCTGAGAGTGATGGTTCTGTTTTATTGGAAAGTAGAATACAGCCTGACACTGCATATCAGAAACAACAGGTAATCATTATTGTAAATATTTCATCTGAATGAGAATGAAAAGAATGTAATGAATAATGTATGAAAACTCAAAACAAATTCTGAACAGAGCATGTAATTTGTTGTTTATTTCAGGATACACTAATTGTTTGGTCAGAAGGAGACAATTTTGATTTAGCCTTAAGTTTCCAAGAGAAGGCTGGCTGTGATGAGATTTGGGAGAAGATCTGTCAAGTTCAGGGAAAAGATCCATCTGTTGAAATCACCCAAGATATTGTTGAAGAATCAGAAGATGAGCGGTTCGATGATATGTCAGATACTGCACCTCCTATAGAACTGCCCCCTTGTGAACTGAGTCGGTTGGAAGACATTAATGAATTAATAGGAAATTGTTTATCCTCTCAGATGAGAAAAGATAAGTTGGCATTAGCTTTAGAATCAGAGGGTTATATCAAGAAGCTGTTGAACTTGTTTCATACATGCGAAGATTTGGAGAACATTGAAGGATTGCATCATCTCTACGACATATTTAAGAATATTTTCTTACTGAATAAGAACACTTTATTCGAAGTTATGTTTAGCGATGATACGATTTTTGATGTTGTTGGATGCCTGGAGTACGAGCCGACATTACCTCAGCCAAAGAGGCATAGAGAATACCTGCGACAATTAGCTAGATTTAAACAGGCGATTCCTATCACAAACGCTGAACTACTAGCTAAAATTCATCAGACGTATCGAGTTCAATACATTCAGGATGTAGTACTACCAACTCCGAGCGTATTCGAGGATAACATGTTGAACACATTGAGTAGCTTTATATTTTTTAATAAGGTTGAAATAGTGACCCTAATACAGGACGACGAGAAATTCCTTACTGAACTGTTCCGCCAGTTAACGGACGAAGCAACATCGGATAGTAAAAGACGCGATCTAGTTCTTTTCTTAAAAGAATTTTGTAACTTTTCTCAGAATCTTCAGCCGCAAGGAAAGGAGGCCTTTTATAAAACTTTAACAAACCTTGGCATTTTACCCGCGCTAGAAATCACTCTGGCGATGAACGATGCCCAAACGAAAACAGCCAGTATAGATATATTGACATATATAGTGGAGTATTCTCCGAGCGTTGTTCGAGATTATACATTGCAACAAATAAATAATACAGAACAGGACCAAATGTTAATAAACGTAATAGTTGCTCAACTCGTCGGAGACAGCGATCCAGAGTTGGGCGGAGCAGTACAATTAGCTGGTGTATTGCGCCTGCTCCTCGATCCAGAGAACATGTTGGCTTCCGTAAACAAATCAGAAAAGACTGATTTCTTGAACTACTTTTACAAAAATAGTATTGGAACATTGATAGCGCCGCTGTTAGCGAACACGATTGGAGACCGACCAGCCAGGGAAGATTACAGAACCGTACAGCTTTTAGGATTGATTTTAGAGTTACTGTCATTCTGCGTAGAGCATCATACATACCACATCAAGAATTGCATATTGAATAAGGATCTGCTCAAACGGATACTGGTTTTAATGAAATCAACTCATACGTTTCTAGTACTGTGTGCGTTAAGGTTTATGAGAAAGATTGTAGCCTTGAAAGACGAATTTTACAATAGATACATCATCAAGGGAAACTTATTTGCGCCTGTATTCGATGCATTTGTAAGGAATAATGGTAGATATAATCTATTAGATTCAGCTATTCTTGAAATGTTTGAGTTCATTAAATTGGTAAGCACATTGAAGATAGTTGTGAAATATACCTTATAAAAACAAATATTATGTCTTGTATACATTAATGCATATATACGCTCGTTCCGTTTCAGGAGGATATTAAATCCTTATGTTCGCACGTTGTCGAGAATTTCTCGAAAGAGCTGGAAGCAATTGATTATGTACAAACGTTTAAAGCTCTGAAACTAAGGTACGAGCAGCAGCAGGACAAGTTAAAAGATCGAGACAGGGCAGCTCTTGACAGGTACATGTTAGATTAACTTCTTTCGCTAAAAATTCTTTGGGAAACTTCCTTCGACACGTATCAAGATAAACACGTTCATGTTTCTGGTTCTTCAGTGTTCCATCCATATTGAGAAATAGTCGCTACAGAAGGGACCAGAGACAGTTAGACGAAGAAGAGGAAATGTGGTTCAACGAAGAGGAAGACTTTGATGAGGGTGAGGCGGTCGTACCCGCAGCAGCAGCAGATCTTGTGCCTCCGGCTTCTGCTAAGAAACAATCGTCAACTTCAAATTCTGCACTTAATCCTGCTCTTGCAGATTCGAAAAGCCATCATCAGCAGCAGCAACAACAGCAGTCTGTATTGAACAACAATACTGCTAACAATAACGTTACCTCCCAGCAATCACAAATCAATAACAGTACAACGGCAACGAATGAATCTCCGATCACCTCGGAAATCAATCCAAATTCGGCTATTGGCACGGTGGAGAAAACTGGTACTGCATTATTTAAAAAGGTACATTTAAACTTTCCGTCATCCTCGCTACCAAGGCTTTCTTGGGTAATTTAAAATTGTTTAAAAATGCAATCAAATTGTCCTGCAACAGATTTCAAAGGGAACGCATGATATCTTTCAGGAAGATAAAGTAAAACGGTATAAAGGTAGTTCCGACTAAATTAAAAGAATATTTCTAGACTTTCTATCGATTCATTACTAGTTACAATATCGAAACTACTATATGTGGGGGGGGGGGCAAACACCTAACCATAATTACTCCACTGATAGTTTAGTGATTGACATCCACTTTTGAACAATACAAGTTTTGGCCTTGAAGCTGAAAAAATTATTTTTTAGAATGATAAATCTTATGGGTATTAATATGGCGCTTAATGTATTAATTATACGATTGTCTTACTTTCATAAGTAATATTCTGTCGCTTTAAGATCTACAGTTAATAAAACATTTTCCAGGGTTTAGTCGATTACGAGGGGGATTCAGACGAAGAGGATGAGGACACGGAGGTGACACCTTCTCCGAAACGACAAAGATTGTCATAGTAGGCAAACCAGAAAAGAACAGGGAATTTGTGATTATTGAATCGTTACTACCATTTCTGGCCCTCCTACATGCACAAAGGACTCGATCTGGAGATCGTACAATCAAACTTTTTTTTGTTTAACAGAAAGGAGAGCCGTTCTTCTTAAGTGAGTGGGACACCCAGGAAAGTTATGGACGTGTTTATATAAATGAAGTGGTGGAAAGAAAAATTGACGTACCTCTTTGTGTTGGGTTGTGTATATTACAAATGTAGGGCATCGATATCGAACCTCGCAGGTGGGTGAAAGGGTCTAAGAAATGGGACGTATGTAATTGGAAAAAAAAAGCAAAAAAAAACGAATGATGAACCAACGCGATACAAAGGAAGAGAGAACTTTCTTTACGGAGAACATACGAAGGTAAAAAACTTGTGGCATAATACTGTGTGACCACATAAGTGTTAACAGTAAAAAAAAAAGATTTTAAAAAATCAAATAGTCCATTCCGCGTTGTCTGGAAAACACCCCATTGTACTAGGAGAAATTATTTCATGATTATAGGCTAAGAAACTCTAGCCAGGCCTAGTGGTTCTTACGAGTACAGAGAGTTCTAAGCGTGTGCTTAGTATCGTGTAATAATTCAAGAAGTTGTGACTGTATGTCATATATGCATCTATTAAGGAAAAGAAACTTACTATGTAAAAACAACAGAAAATTCACATGTAAAAGTACATGATGTACCGCACAAAAAACAACTGAGTGTTTTGTTTCGCCATCCATCAGTTTCTTATACGTGTGATGGGCAATTGAAGGAGACCTGTCCTTGATAAAAGTGGGTCAGACATCATGAAACTTTTTCCAATTTAAAACAGAAGTAGTATTTAGTTTGTATATATATGTATATTTGTAACGATTGTAAAACAACCATTCGTGGGTTAAGCAGAGAATAATGCGATTCCTTTACTACATTCAGTTCCCTTTTAAGGTTCTTTGAACGAGCTTTTCGGTTGTCAATGTAAGTAGTAGAAATTGTACAATAAACATTTGATTTGTGTATATTTACAAGTTTGCACTTCATGCCCGATATTATTCCTTGATGTAAAAAACAAAAAAATAAGATGAAGTATAACGCGAAAGTGTCTTGAAATTCTCGAGCATTGAATATAAACTATCCTACTCGTATAAATTATTCATAATTATAATGGGCAGAATAGAGCCATCCGGCATCATTATGCTTTGTAAAGAATCGAAGCATTACTTAAGTATATCTGTGCAACTTCATCCTTGTGAAATTCCATTTTGTGTACATTTATATAGCGTTGCGTAGTATCATCTAATATTGTTTCCGATCAAAGTAAGGTTTCCTTTTATAATTGATCACGGGGTTGTAACAAATACTCAGATTGACAAAGAATTGACAAGCCACGAAATTCATAGTTGAATGCTTACACGAAAAATTTATTTTTAACATGGTAATTTGTCATATCACGATAAACGAAAGGTTCATTGATCTATACCTCAGCTCCAGAGATAAAAGTGTCTACTTTATTTGAACGCAACTACTGATACAACCGAGAAAGCTGGTATTAAGGAGTCTACTCCACCCTAATTTTTTTTCTAATTTAATTCGTCTCATTGTCTTTCTCTAGATGTTATTTTTCAATGTGCGCCCCGACTGATTGGTGTTTGATTTGAGACACAGTAAAAAATGTCGGACAAGTATTATAAGCTAATGTATAGATTTTTCACGACGCCCTGACACCCGAACAGAACTTCTATGATTACTTTGAAACTGTATGTATGTTGGATATTTCGTAAATAGCATACGTCGTGCATATGTTATGTATGCAATGGGAAATACATATACAAGAGTGTTCCAGGTTTTAACGACCAAACTGTACCAGTATGCTCTATAAAGCAGCCATAACGAGAAAACGTCGTTTAAACGATGGCTGCCTAATAGTAAGCTAATTTTTAAAAAAGAAACTTCGACAGAAATGTATCCTCTCATATTACATTATACATTTTAATTATATTTCTCAATTCCTTTTTAAAGATTTTGTTAAATTAAATATATTGTTGCGTGAAACGATAAACTTTCATAAATCTTTTTGAGTTTATTGAAAATTTTGTAGTTGTGTTTATTCTTATTCTAATGGCGTTGTGTGTGTATAACAATCCTTTTTCATTTTTAGCTGTAGCACATGCTGGAACAGTGCAACCGGTCAAAACCTGAGACACCCTATTTTGTATTAACTTCTGACATTGAAAGATGAATTTTAGAAGTTAATTCAATCACACATACACGACACAGACGTGCGGAACCTGTGTGAATATCAAAGTAGGCAATTTCACTGGAGCTGAATGCGATTATATATGTACATATAACGGTAAAGATAGAAAAAGAAAGAAAAGAGTGCAACCCAGGACTGATCACAAAGAGAAAGAGGGTGAGAGAGAGAGGGAGCGCGCGTAAAGCGAGAGTGGAATATAACGAAAGCTAATTATTAATTAATTAAGAAGATATCGAGTAATGTTGTTCTTTATGTGTTTTACATATATTCACAATTTATATTCGATAACAATGGGACGAAATGATAAAAAGTTAGAGAGAGAGAGAGAGAGAGAGAGAGAGAGAGAGAGAGAGAGAGAGAGAGAGAGAAAAAACGGATTAAGGTGGTGAAAGCGTAAGGACAGGGAATGTAAGTAATAAGAATGGAGAAAACACGAGGGGATAGGGGCGATGAATCGATATCTAAGTGATACTAGAGTAAAAGAACGCGTGTACGCTATTTAAGCTAAATTTAATACAATACTTATACGGAGTGTTTCAGACTTGTTCGTTGTCACGTCGCTTTCATTGCTGTTTTTCATTTAAAGGGATTTATCCTACTTCCTAGATAATGGGTCATTGACTTGGAATTTCTTTTTCAGACGATTTGGACATTGGAGTTTTCTAAAAAAACAAAAAACTGTTCGTTTCATCAATCAGGAAATTCATGTGTCCAGTCGCTCTCATTGAATAATCTCTTATACTGATCTCACACTTCAGATAAAAAGATTTTCCTGATAGATGCCACTCAATAGAATGGAACATGGAAAGAAATGTGGTCACTGTCTTTGGTATTAATGCTTTACATTTTCGAGAACAGTATTATGGTACTGGTACAATGACCTGTTGTGTTTAGATAAATGCTTATTCTTTTATCGCGACAGGGAAAATTGTTTTCTAAAGAGTCCAAAGCAAGAAACCTCCTTAACATCATTTAAACTTGCGTAATTAATTATAATTCCTTTTTTGCTGTGGTATATCTTTTCCGTATTCGCATAGTTAAATCTTTGGTACAAGCTGAAACTTCCCTATGTTTCTAAGAGGAGCCACGTTACTCGAGTATTCGAGCACCAATGGGATCGGGAGGGATGGGGGGAGAAAGTGGGGGGGGCATCCAGCGTCTCATTTCTACAGTAAAAAGGGTTGTCACAAGTTTTTATTTCATTTCATTGAAATAACATATTTTTCATTTCGTGCGAGTAGAGAGAGACGTATACATATTCACTGAACACCGGAAACGGAACCCTTGTGTACACTATATTTCTATTCGTGAATCTATTATTCAAATAAAATTCTGTCCATCTGTGTTCGTAATTTATTTATAGAGTTTCATGAGTCCGATTCCGTCTTTCGGTTCTCTAAATCAATTTGAATCGAGGCTGGTATGCGTCGATTACTATACACGGAATCATTTGTTATACAGAAGGTGTGTTTTGATGTGTAAATCGAACCCTCAAGTTCGGCATTGTTGATGACACGGGGTGTGTATTCCTTGTTTCTCGGTGTTTCCCAGGCCGATGGAGAAAAACTCTAAAACACTCTGTGTAAGATCAGTGCCGAGGTCGCAATGATAGAGAAACTTTACAACCGTCACATCGATGTAATGTGAATTACATGATAAAAGAAAGAAAGAAAGAAAAAAAAGCAGAAGCATTGCACACATTGTACAATACCACGTGTTAATAATATAATACGTTTTAATTATAAATATATATATATATGTATATGAAGAAAGATGACCGAACAGGGACGCGCTTTTTCTCTGATACATATATATATACCAGACACACCACACACAACACAAACACACATACATACATATATATACACAGAAAAAGACACCTTTTTATATGAGAAACTATTCGTAAAACGTGTGAATTTAAGAACAAGCATAAGGGGCAAAAAAAAATGAACTGTTCTGTGTGTAGTATGGTAATAGTCGAATGGAGAGTAAGTGGGAAATATTTTACATTTTATTCCAAGTAAAGTATGGTTGACCAGTGGAGCTATATTTCGGTGGAGGAGAACTGGACGTTGGATTTGCAGCAGAAGACAAGCGCGGAGCGAGAATTCTTTCGTTATATACGATGTGAATATACTAAATTCTCCAAGATTAGTATTCCTACTATAATTTTACAGTGTATGTTGTGTGGTGAATTCGTATTGTGAATTTGGATTCGATGAAAGTTTATGCAAGTCGGTGACCCGTGTTCCGCTGTGAATTCGATCCCGGTTCTCCTTGTACTTGAACAGCTACGAAGAAAGCAGGAA